ATTAAGAAATAAGAAAATAAGAGAGAATTATGAATAGAAAATAAATACATATGCTGGCTAGCAGAAGAAGGATCCCTTCATAAAGTACTTTTTAAGAGAAACTGGCTCAGATTCACATTACATCTACGGAAAACTACTGAAACTCCCATATAGCCAGCCTGAACTACCACTGTTCAGTGGCTATCACTCCACCACTAGTGGATTCCAATGACTGTTCGAATTTTTCACAGAAATCATCATTTACGATGATTGTTGTATTATTACCATTGGTACAAAATTTACTCATTATGATAATTTAATTTTAGCTTTTAAATTAGAACCATAAATTACTTGTAATAAATTGAGGGATTAAAAAATACACACTTCTTAATATTTTTACCATTTACAGTATTTAATCATAAAAAATATTTCTAACACTGGTACAAAACTTGCCCATTATAATTGAATTTGATTTCCTTCACTTTGAAATATTTTTTTATTTCCTTTTAATAACAGAATCTAAGAAACTAAAGTAACATATACTAGTTTGAAATGCATTTATTAACCTTTTGTAAATTTCATTATTCATAAACATAAAAATTAACCTTTTGTAAATTTAAAATATTAATGTTTAATACATTATATTTTGTAATTAAAAATATTAACATTTTGTAACTTTCATTACTCATAACATATAATTGTCATAAATTCATTTACAGTAGTGTTTCAAGAATTTATCATAGCAGTACTAGAAATATTGAAAATTAGAGAAAGACTGTTTATTCTGATTAAGAGCTTATTTTTTAGGATTGTTATTTAGTCTAGATCGGGTTTTGTTGACAATCCACCATTTTTTTCCGATCTTCAAAACCGGGTCTACCTTGGCGACCTAAGTTTGTCGCCAAATAAAAAAATCGCCAAAAGGACCAATACTAAAGCTGTTCCAATTTTCCAAAATACAGTTTCAGTAGAATGCAAAAACTATATTTCTGCTTCTGCGAACTGAACTAGGGTTTTCATCCGCAGAGAACCCGTTGGCGCTTCGGGAAAGAACCCGTTGGCGCCGTTGCATTTTTATTCGCCAAGCTCGCCGTTCATCGACGATGAGCCGAGCCGTAAACGTAATTTTTAGTGCATGTAAATTCAAATTAGCAGACAAAACAATATATTAAGCATATGGTAGTAAAAATTCACACATAATAAGCATGTAGATGTAAAACTAGTTAAAAACACAACGTGAACAGCCGTGTTACAAATTAGCATTCACCCCTCCCGCCGTATTTTCTTCCTTTCATCGCGAACCGAGAACCGGCATATATATACGAAAATATTTCTATCTATTCGTTGTTAAAAAATTTAGAAAAAAATAATAATAAATAAGAGAAGAATAATATAAATCTGCAAATGCGAACAACGACAGTGATAATTCAACAAAATGAACGCATGAGGAATGGTTGCAAACTTCGAACAAGCAAATAGAATAAATCCGATGGGTTACCAGGTTTGAACTATTAACGCCAAAGTTGGCGATGTTTACATTTACCGGGTTCTCTGCGGAAGTGCTTCCCGTTTTACTGTTTAGAAATTAGTAATAAATAATAAAATACCAGCACTGACTATGAATATACAACTAAAGCCATGCACGTGTAATCGTGTCTAATGTTTGAGAGAACGTTGCTGATAACTGACTAGTTGTGAAATGGAGTTTCTGTGCGTGAAATTGATTTTCCATCTTTACTTTTAACCTGAAAAACAATGTGCTTAAAGACAGAAAAGTGATAATTTCATACATGATAATTTGGTTCAGGGAAGCACTTCCGCAGAGAACCCGGTAAATGTAAACATCGCCAACTTTGGCGATAATAGTTCAAACCTGGTAACCCATCGGATTTATTCTAATTTGTAATACAGTAAATCCTAGTAAATAATATATTGCATTACAACAACCACGAAGAAAATAACACCACCATCGCACAACAATAACTAGCGCGGCGCCATATTGCTTGTTTGGGAAACTTCTGAGAGTGGGGGAGGGAGGGGAATTTTTTTCCTCACGTCAGCATTAACAGGGAGAAAAGTTTTGCGATTGTGAATGAACTTGTTCGCGTTAAAGAGATATTGGTTGATACCGGTGTTTATTTGTAATATCAGAAATGTAAGTGCTTATGTGTGTGTATTCAGAGAACCAACTCGTAGCAAAAACCACTTCCCTAAGACGACCGCCTCTGAAAGAAACCAGTATTTCTGAAAAGATAAGTATACTTTGGTATTGAATATTCCTCTGTAAGCCGACCATTCACAAAGAAAATGCTGCAAGAGTGTCTGGTCGCCTTAGAGAGATTCATTCCGTAGATGCAATCTTCCTAAGACGACCACTTCTAAAAGATAAACATATCTCTGAAAACGTATTGGTATTGAGCATCACCTCTGTAAGGCGACCACTTGCAAAGATGAATTTTTATTTGCGGCTGGTCGCCTTGGAGAGACCTCGTTGTGTGTGGTGTATATGATTACTGTTATTGTTTCCGGAAAAAAATTTAAATCAAATAAATAAGAATATTTAGTAGAAACCCTCTCTAAAACGACCACTTGCGTTTCCAGGTTACTCTGATGGTCTTAAAGAGATCATATTTTCATTCTGTTAATTTTATTGTTTACAAGAAGTCTATTAACGTCAGATAAAAAAATTGCATAAACCCATATAAACCAACAGAAGATTTATTATTATATTGATACCCGTAAGAAAAACCAGTAAAAGTCAATATAAACCTATACAAACCAGTACAAAGTTCTGCCATTGAAAAAAAATGTTGGTTGTATGGGATGTCAATTGATACCAGTAAGAAAAACCCACAGAGATCAATAGAAACCAGTAAAGTCAGTAGAGACCATAAAAAATTCTATATGTACCAGTAGAAAGTTTTACTAGTTTCTATGGGTCATTTTGAAACCAGTAAAAAAACCCACAGAGACCAACAGAAACCAGTAAAAGTCAATAAAAACCCATAAGATCTTATGGGTACCCATAAAAAACTTTACTGGTTTCTATGGGGCATTTTTAGCAGGGGTTATATTAAATTGTAAGAATCATTTATTTAACAAATTTAATTTTAAGTTTAACATTAAGACTGATTTTTTGGACTTTGGTTAAATGGAAATGCTAGTAATATTAAATATAGGAACAAAATTAAACACTGCAAATGACATGTTCTAAAAAATGAGAACTGAAATAACCACGATTTCTGATTTTAATTTGCAAAGTTTATTCCAAATTATGTACTCGAATCGTGCCTAATTACTTCTTTGATTTCTATTCAAAAAATATGTTTATTTATTATTTGATCATAATAATGAATTAGATAGAAATAAATTAGCATAAAAATAAAATAATACCGGTGTAGTAAAAAATTATTATACTTGTTTCAGGCATCATGTAATTTGATTATTCTTCTTTTAGCGAAAAAAAAATCATTAATTTCATATTTTTAATTACAGCCAATGTTAATAATGTCAGTTTCTAGCAGTTGTGGTTTCATTTTATTAAAAGTTAAAAAGAATCATTTCATGAGTATTAAACACTTAATACAGCAGATTAAAATTAAAGGTTTTACGCATCTCTTACTCAATCAGTTATACCGCTAGAAGAATAGCTAATTGCTGAGAAAGTATGATTGCTAGAAACTCTAGTTTCATCCGTTCAGTTCTGGAGTGAATATTTACTTTCATCGTATTCAACATAAATAAAACCAGTTGTTTAAAAAAAATTTGTCCAAATTTCTCTAGTATAAATTATCAGCTCTGAAAGCAGACTGAATACCTATTTCGAATTCACTGAAGAGTTTTTCACGAAATTTGGAAAGAAGGAATGTTTTAATTTGTTTACCGCATTGTAACAGAGAATGTTCGAAAAGTTCTCTGCAGGCTTATTTTATTGCATATTGAATCTAAGCGTATACATCTAAACAAGAAATTTCTTAAAATACATTATTTAGTATTATGAAAATGGCTTCTGCATAGTGGGAAGCCCACCCTTTCCTGTGCAAAACTAATAACCATACTAACAAAATTTTATATGGATCTAATCGAGGCAAATTTCTCATTAGTAAACCATTCATTATATTTTGATTAATTTAATAAAAATTACCATACCTTTGTATGCAAACTTTGCGAAGATTCAGCAGCTAAAGAATGCATTTTATAATCTAAATCGTCGTTGATAAAAGACAAGCTTTGGGTGATGGCGTCTGGCCCCTCAGATGCTAGTTCCCCCGATTCCTCTCTTATCATTTGCGCAGATTCATGCGCAGCGTGTTTACTCCAGGGAGCTCGGCGTGCTGAAAGCCGATTTTTTTTATACGCCACGCTATTATATTGTGAACTTGGTGCGCATTAGAGTGTAAATTAATTTCTTTTACTTTTTCTGCAATAGTTTTCTTTTTAATTGGGATACATATTTATTTGTTCAGATGCTTTATTGTAGATGTTTTATCATAAAGGAAGAATTCCTGATTTATTCATTAATACAGATCATCGCCCAAAGCTATTAGAGATACAGATATCAAAACGTAGAAGCTTATTCCTTTTGTAATAAGGCTACTATAAAGGGGAGCTGAATCATCATCCATTTTGAAGCTAACTTGTTGGTATTCGCTATTGGATTAGCACTGATTTCTTGACATATTTGTGGATCGATTCCGACCTAATTTTCAGAAAAATGGGTGGTTGTGCTGCACCAAATTGTTCGAATCAGTCTAAAAATAACTTTAGGATGTTTCGTTTCCCTAGAAATGAAGAAAATGGATAGTTAATTCTCGTCGAGATCAATGGATCCCGGGCCCAGGAGCGTATCTTTGTGTGAGGTAAGTTCAGCTTCGTATTTTTCCATAGAATGTTAGAAAAATTACTCTTCTTGGTACTTTAAAATATTTATTTTCATTTAACTGTCACTTATTGACGATCAACTGATTTTATAAGTACAAAATCAACTGCGGAATGTGTATGTGTTTGTGTGCAGTAAAATATCGTTGTTTCATGTTGTTTCTTTTGTTATCGTGAAAAGTTTATACCGTTTGTAAAATTTGTATCATACATTTCATGTAAACTTTGTGCTCAGTTAGAAATGTGATGTGCCTTTTTCTTTTCTTTAATTTTACTGTACGATTGGTGATTTAAAGTAGCATTCTATGTTTTGATTCTGATGTATTGTCGCCAAATCGGATAGTTGGCGCCAATGTTAAAAACTGGATGGTATGATCCAAATAATAAATGATTTTGTTTTTTCTTTATAGTAAGATAAATATATTCTGTATTTTTAGACATTTTTAAGAAGTTAAATATTAATTTAAATATTCGATGATTCGTTTTGATCCCATTATTATCCTTTATTGTAGTAGTAAATCTTAATGTTGTATTTTTAACTATAGGTACTTTAAATTTATTTTTAGTGTGTGAGCAGGAAATATGTTTTAAGTAGTTTTACAAACATGATTACTTTTTAAAAATTTTGTTCTATTTTCATAAAAAAAATTTTAATTTATCAGAAAATTACATTCTTAAATTATTATAATATATGTAACTGTAATTTAATACTAGTGCTTTTGATTTTAATGTTAAATTTCATGCATGCTTTTGTTAAATATGCAGGTACATTTTGAAGAAAATCAATTTGAATGCTCTAGGCAAGATGGGCGTAAAAAACTCAAGCCCAATGCTGTGCCAACTCTTTTCACTGTGCCTAATCCCCCACAACTGTTGACCCCACAGCGTCTAAAAGGCATTGGTTTACCAAAGCACCGTTCAGTTACATCCAATTTTTGTAATGTATGTGTTTTTTATTTTTATGGTTTTTCATAAAAAAATATGTTTTTATTACAAATGGACTAAATTGCTTTATAAAAGAATCAAAATATTGAAATTAAGGCATTATGTGATAAAGCTGTAATTACAGTCCCTAAGATTAGATTAAAAAATTAAAATTTTGCTGTTGTTATATATATAATTAAGTATGTACTTTGTTATTATAATCATATATTGAAAATTAAGCATAAAACCTCAATTTGATGTAGTTTTTGGATAAAGTTTTTGTAGTTTTTCGAGGACGGTCATACATGGGTCTGGTTTCTTCAAATTTGCTCCTAAAAGAAAGAAACCGGTATCTGATTGCCTTCAAAGTCAAAAGAGTTTAAATCAAAATTTGTATTAAACTAAAGTTGCTTTTTTGCTTAATTTTAAATTCCAGATAAATAGAGAGAAAATATGTATGGAGTAAGTAAAAGAAATAATATTGAAATTAATAACTTTAATCTTGAGTAATACAATAATATAGTTATAATACATTGATTTAAATGTATATTTTAATGTCTTATATGTCTTGTCTGAATGTTGTTATTTTTTGTTTAAAGATTTACAAAAACTTATTAGGATTATTTATTTATTTATTAAAATTACATTAAGTATATTTTATTTATCAGCATTTTCAGGTATCCTTACTTATATGTGTTTCATAATTTTTGCATCTTCAGGGTGGCTTGCTGCACAGTTTACCTTTATCAACTGAAGCGATTTCTGTTGCTGAACCATCTGTTGTAAGTCTTCATTTGAACAGTTATTAAATATTTAGTATTATAAACTTTTTCTAAAAAGTATTAACACTGTTTCTAAAATTTAAAAATATATTAACGTAATATTTACTTATGTTTAAGAAGTATGAATGCTATGAACAGTCCAATGTATTTATGCTTTTTTATAAGTTGAGTTACTTTGAAAATGGTAATGATTATTTGTATTTATTTTTATCCGATCAGAGTTTATAATTTCTTTCACTTCCACATATTTCATATATTATAATTTCTTTTAGGTTCATTTGCCACAACCTTCAGCTTCATATTTTGGAGAAATAAATTTTGCTGCCGAAGTATCTGATGTAAATTGCCATTTTGCACTTCTAAAAAATTTTAATAGTTTTTTAACATCTATTCGTAAACTGTACTATGTTTTTTTTAAATGTTTCCATCTTCATAATCATGCACTTTATTTCATTTCACCAGTGGTTGCAAATGTGTACATTACAGTACATCTCAGGTGTGTTTGCAACAACATTTAGCATTACCTTCTGATTAAATAACAGCTGCTAGTAAAGAATCTATTCTATGTTTTCATTTGAGCAGCTATTAAATGTCATATGTTTTACATATATTAATGAATTTTTATACGATTTCTGAAATATGAAATTGTTTGTCTTATGGTTGCTAAACAGCTGTACTATATCTGGCTGTTGTGCTATGGAATTATTTTTGAATTTTGAGTGTTAACAATTTATTATCTATTTATGAATTATAAAATGTTATGTAAAATAATTATTTCTTAAAATGAATGTAGTTTATATTATCTGTATTTCTAAATTTCTTATATATATATTTCAGGTTTGTTTGCAAGAACAAGCTTCAACTTCATCTTGTGATAAAATGCCATCTATTTGTGAAGGATCTCATGTAAGTAGATAATTAGTGTATTATTAAATTGCTTGCTTATACAAAATGTTTCTATTAACTTTTTTTTGGGGGGGGGGTAAAAGGAATGTAATTAATTTCATCAGCATTTACAAATTCTTTGTGTACATTTCAGGTTTGTTTGCAAGAACAGCCTTTAGCCTCATTTTGCAATGAAATACCATCTATTTGTGAAGGCTCTGATGTAAGTTGATAACTAATGTATAATTAAATTGCTTCCTTATATGCATTTAAAATGTTCTATAAAGTAATTTTTTGGTAAAAGGAATGTAATTAATTTCATCAATAGTTGCAAATTCTCTATGTAAATTTCAGTTTTGTTTGCAAAAACAACCTTTAGATTCATCTTGCAACCAAATTGTAATTAATTTTAATTAATTTCATCAGCATTTGTGAAGGCTGTGATATAAGTTGATAATTTGTGTTATTAAATTGCTCATGATTATGGAGATAATCGATCCCTTGAAAAGCTGGAAATAAATTTTAAAAATCTATTTTTAAGTGAAATAAATTTTAAATATTAGAAAATAAAACAAAAATAATCTAGAAAATGCTGAAAACAATAGAGTCAAATTTAAAAACCCACCACAGTATAGGAAAAGAGACCTGGAACTTGCATTTTTATTTTGTGGATTTATTATCTGTTTAAGTTTGACATTTAATCCAAAGGGGCTTTGTCCCTGAAGGACTATTGTTTTCGTTTTGTATTGAAACACTATAAACGGCTGCATCACTTTTCAAATTGTTGCCACCAAATATTATCACCCTGTACTATATTTAAAGAAATTATATAGTGAAGAATCTGCATAAATGCATGTATGTTTTTTGCATTCTGATAAAACAACGGTACCTAGAGCCATCAAATTTTGAATGACTTAATTCTACTGTGAATATGGACATCTGGAAGACCGAATTTGAAATTCGGAATTTGTTTTAATATATATTTTATATGTTGTAAAACTTTAACGAATTTTTGATTAACAAACTTGAGGATTTCAAAGCGAGCAATGGCAATGTTGTACAGAAAAGACACTTTTATCTCCAGCGTGTGAGACAATGAATCGGGAATTCTGAAGATATGTTCATTTTAAAATTATCTTGCAATATTGCTGTTGAACTGAATTTTATAGTTTAAGTGTGAAAAAAACTTGATATTTAATAAATAAAGGTAAAACACAAAATGTTAAAAAAAGGCCCCTTTGGGTGTAATTTAAAATCTGAAACCTTTCAGATCTTTTTTGTTTGTTTGTTGTGTTCCCCCCCCTTCTTTGATGATTATTCATATAGATTTTTTCTTTATTCCAGGATGTTCTTTTAAGGAATTTTATAAAACAGCAGACTGAATTGATCTCGCTTCTGCAATGCCAGAACAAAATATTACTGAAAGAACTTACAGCAACCAAAAAAAAAAAAAAAAAATGAAATTAATGTTTTAAAAAAATGGCATAGCACTGAAATTCAACTTCATGACCTTCAAGTACAGCATGAGGAATTGCTGAAAGGAGTGAAAACATTTCTTTCAGATGAACAAATAGCAATGTTGAAAATTCCTCGTAGAAGCATTGCAAAATGGTCTAACGAGGGAATAATAAAAGGCCTCAAAGTTAGATTTGCCTTGGGCAAGCATGGTTATAATTACTTGCACAGAATAGGTTTTCCTGTGCCTTCATACAGCACTTTAAATAAAAGACTTCAAGGTCTTGAAATGAATTTTGGAGTCATCAGTGAGATGATTGAACCTTTGAAAATTAAAGGAGAAAAAATGAATGCTAGTGATAAAGACTGTATTTTATATCATTGGATGAAATGGAGATTTCTGGCAATCCTGATTTTGATATTTCAAAACGTAAATTTATTGGTAAATGTACATTAGGAAATCAAAAGGGTGCAGGAAATCACTATTTAGTTATTTTACTAAGAGGTTTGAAGCTGAAATGGAAGCAAGTGGTTGCCCATGAGATAACTGGACAGGTAACAGGATGCCAGCTCAAACAACTTGTTGTCAATGTTATCGAAGCTGTCAATTCTGTTGGATTTAATGTTGTTGGTATTGTTAGCGATATGGCAGCAGTAAATAGAAGCCTGTGGAATTCTTTGGGAATATCTGTTTCTCGAAACCAAAGAAATAATTTCACTACTGAAATTAAGGGCAAAATTATTTATGTATTTGCAGATGTGCCACATCTTTTAAAAAATCTCTGGTCTGCAACTCTTAATCATAGTATAAAACTGCCCAGTTATGTTTGCAATAAAGAAAATTTGGTTACTTTGCATGTATCTGCAGGATTTATAAAAGATATCTGGATTACTGAAACAAACCAAAATTGTGGTTTGAGAACTATGCATCATCTCAGCAAAGAAGACCTCTTCCCCTCACATTTTGATAAAATGAATGTTGCTTCTGCTGTGAGGTTTTTTTCCAATTAAAACAGCTGTGGGATTGGAGAAGGCAGTAGCTTTAAAAGAGATAAGCCCTAATGCTCTTACAACAGCATGGTGGATAAGATTTATATGTCAGTGGTTTCAAATGCTATCCTCTAGATGTAGAAAGAACTCAATTTCTGTGACAAATAAAAGCAAAAAAAATTGAGTTACTTTTTGAATTTATTAATGTTATACAGCTTATAGAAATTGGTAAAGGGTGGAAACCATTACATACTGGTTTGATTCTTTCTACTTTATCAGCCATACAGTTAGCAGAGGCATGTTTTCTGAATGATTTTCAGTTTATTTTGACGAGCAGATTGACACAAGATGCTCTAGAAAATGTATTTTCTCAGATACGCAGAAAAGCTGGTTTGAGGCCAAGTGCTTTGCAAGCTGTGAAAGCATTAAAGCTTATCTGTTTATCTCAGTTTATATCTGACATTAAGAACTCCAGTTATGCTACTGATTCAGATATTTACTTATTAAACTATGCGAAAGATGAATTTGAATTTCTGAAGGAGAAAAAAGCTTTAGAGCCTGTTACCATACCAGAAGTTTCTGATGTATCTCTACAGAATCTCACCCTTAGTGAGGAAAATAACGTCTGTTATATTGCAGGAGCTGCAATAAATTCTGTTTTGAAAAATGCTTGTAATTCATGCTCACAGTTTCTCTTAGTTTGTGAGCAAAATACTCCTTCCATTGATGAAAATAAGCAGTACATAATTAATTTTGCAAATTTAGGTGGGCTTAAATGTCCTTCTCCAGAAATTTTTAAATTGTGCCTTCTGTGTGAAAAAATAATTCAAAATTTTCGAGACGAAATAATACATGGAAATGTAACTATGGATGTGGAATTTGTTAATATGATTTGTAAGAAAGCAGGCGAGGTAAATATTCCCTCCTGTTGCAATATCAAAACAAAGATAATAAAATATTATTTGACTGCCCGTGGAATTGGTCTCAAGAAGCTTCTTCAAAATAAAAGGCAGCAGCGGCAAAGTTTTGCATCTCCTGCTTTTAAAAGGAAGAAAGTAAACTAGAATCTAATCAAGAGTTTAAGAAGTTTTTGCTGTTCAGTTCTGTCTGTAAAAAAGTAGAGTAGTTGTCACTGAAAAATTGCTGTTTGTCTCTTCGAATAATAATTAGGCCCACCAACAGCTGAATGGTTAAAGTTACTGAATGCTGGGAGTTCCATCTTCTGTTCTATTTCCGAACAGGCTGGCTGCATGGTTGGTTTTTTTGTGGTTTTTCCCCATGTGTAATGTGAATACAAGCCAGTTCTCCTTAGAAAGTCCTCTACAATAGAAGATCTCATAGTCAGCTAAATCGGATTTACTTTTGTGTGACCTTAAATGAGGCATCAATTGTGAATCTGTTTTGGCATGTTATTAGGAATTTTAAATGAAACATTTATTGCTGTTGTGAAAGAATGATCAACTGATGTTTACCTTACTAATCAATGTCTTATAGTATTGTAATGGCTTGCAGGATTTTTCATAATGGGATGTTGCATATGTTTTACTCTTCTTTTTTACCAAATAAATAGAGTATGTTCCTAATCAGACATTTCTTCTTTTGTACCAGGGTTATATAGTATGATGTGATAATTTGGATTTGTTTATAGAATACATAACAGTATTTTTTGACATTCTAATAGAACCAGTGTATTTTATTTATTTACTTATTGCTTTAAAACAGATTTTGAATCAAGGCTTACTTCCCACCCCCTTTGGGTATGCACATAAAACATGTTTAAGCTATATTTATAATATATCAATGAGATACAGTGGATGGACAAAAATATGGAAACACCTTGTGAAATGCATGTTTGAAAAGAAAGATTGATTTTAATGAAATGTAGGTGGCGCTGGCGTTTTTGACTACTGACGCCACCTATACAACTTCGTAAATGTGCTAAAAGTTGTTGTCGGAGTACTGTTAGTACTGTTATGTGAGGTTGTCATTGCATTATGTCAGAGTTAACAGACTTCGAACGTGGGCAAATTGTTGGAGCACGTATGGTAGGTGCTTCCGTAAGCAAGGTAGCCGAGGTGTTTAGTGTTTCAAGAGGTACTGTATCGAAGATTTATTCCGCATATTTGAAAAGCGGAAAAACATCATCTGCTAAATCACAGGGCGGACGAAAGTGTGTCCTGAGTGATCGTGACAGACGATCATTAAGGGCAATTGTGACGAAAAAATAAGAAGACCACAGCTGCAAAAGTTACTGCTGAAATGAATGTTGTGTTACCGAACCCTGTGAGTACCAAAACAATTAGAAGGGAGCTTCATAAACAGGGAATTGCTGGCCGTGCTGCAATTGAGAAGCCACTCATCAGTGACGCTAATGCCCGTAACAGGAAAAGGTGGTGTTTAAGTCATAAAGCCTGGACTATAGAGCAGTGGAAGCGAGTAATATGGTCTGACGAGTCTTCTTTCACATTGTTTCCCACTTCTAGCCGAGTTTACGTCTGGAGAACGCCATCTCAAGCCTATAATACAGACTGTTTGTTGCCAAGAGTGAAACATGGCGGGGGTTCTGTTCTGGTTTGGGCAGCCATATCGTGGTTCTCTGCTAGCCCCAAATGAACTGTGTCAGGGCACATGACTGCCAAGACTTATGTGAACATTTTGGCCGATCAAGTTCATCCCATGGTACAAACTTTGTTCCCCGATGGTGATGGTGTCTTCCAAGACGACAAAGCCCCTGTTCACACAGCTCACATTGTCCAGGACTGGTTTTCTGAGCACGAGGATGAGTTGTCCCATCTCCCCTGGCCACCACAGTCACCAGACCTGAATATTATCGAACCTTTGTGGTCTTAGGTTAGCTCCTTTAATGGAAAAAGAACAAAATAAAAATGATATACCTTGAAAACAAGAATACTATCTGAATAGTGTTGGCTAAAATTTATTCAGATGGTTTTTTGCATTTATTCAAACATCTCCGCATATAAATGAGAATTACATTCTATATAAAGCTGTTTGATGTATAATGGAAAAAATTCAATTACTGCAGTATGTTTTAATAGAATTTGAATATAATAGACTGAATTGCACTACATTAGACCAAAAAGCAAAACATTTTTATTTATTTATCTTTATTTTCACTATATGTGTTTGTCATATGTTTGTTACTAGAGGACTTATTTTATAGATTTGAAGCTAAATAATATTTTTATGTTTTTACTTATGCAAATTAATTAATAAAAAGAACTGTGATTTAAGTATTGTCTTTGCTGTGATATAGATTGAATCTTATTATGTTATGGAATTATCATTTAAATATTCAGATACGTGTAATATTAAGAGCATATGTATGTAAGTATAATTTTTCCAAGTATAATAAAAAGTAACCATCAACAACAAATAAACTTATAAGTAAATAGTATCTGTAAATTCTGTATGTAAAGGTATTATTTTTATTTTTATTTATTTGTGTGTGTATTATTTTAATATTGTTTATAGCTAAATAAAGAAAAAAAAAAAAATTTAATGGAATTTTTTACTCTATTAAATCTATGAATCCCACAGTCATCTGAGCATTGAAGTAATTTTTATAGCATTCTGCACTTCATTCTAAAAGCATTATAATTTAAAGGTGTATATCTTGAATCAGTATTTAAAATCATAAAGTGTTTAGCAGCTTTTTCTGGAAACACACACAAAATAACATTTTTAACAAATTTGCTACAGTAATAGACGTTTGATTCCATGTGAGCAAAATTCAAATAACATATTAAAAATAAAAAACAAAAATTAAAGATTAAACCTTATCCTAAATTAATGGAGGTTGAGGGAAAGCTCTTGTCAAAAAATACATTTTGAGATAAATAACATTATGCGTGTATTTAAAAGAAAAAATTGAAAATTCAATAAAGGAATTCAAAAAGAAAGCATTTTTAACTAAAAATACAAATTTGAAATATGATATGTGAAAATGTTTTAGAAACTTTTAAAATAACTTGAATCATACGAGAAATTTGGCAATTTAAAAAAAAAAAAAATACGAGAAAGAATCTGTACTGCAGACAAAAGAAGGGGGAAAAGCCACACATCTTTATAGGAGTGCAGAAAAAAGCTGAAATTCGGATTCTCTAGAATGTTAAATTTTAGCGGACAGCGCTAAAGAGCCAAAGTTGCCGCTCCACACCTAAATTGCAACCCTAAAGCTTAGATTCAAAATGGCTGACGAGTCAGCCTGTATCTCTAGTAGCTCTTTGTACGAGAGTCTTAAACATTTGTTGCGGAAAGTTTGTTTTTTCTATAAAAGAACAGATGTACATAACTTGCTTTAAAATGTAAATATGAA